TTTAGAGGTGTAGGCACCTCGGAATCATTGTGTTAATCTGACACTAAGTCCCTCCCCCGTCCACCTTTACTCTTTTCTTTACAATGAGGCTTTCAAATAAGTCATGGTTGTACGGCAGTGAAGCATCGGTGTTGAACACTGATGTCATGCTGTTGATGATGATGATGATGATGAAGATTACCGCCTTAGTGACTGCTGTCAGAGAGAAAGCTCCTCTTTTCTTAAACGCAGCATCCGATTTGATGAAATGCCACAGGTTTATGTTTTCGGTCGTGTTTTGTGATGTTAGTCTGTTCTGAAATTTTTAGACCCCACAATGAAGGGAAATGTTTTTTGACCGATAGATCTAACTTTCATGCCACCAGCGCTTACCATTCCTGCAACAATTGAAGGACCCTTTTTGATAGGCTTTCGCTCACCTGACTTTCATTCTCCTGAAATTTTTTGATAAGCGAAGCCCGTCTAAAATTTTGTTACCTCTGTCGGGACCACAAAATATTCTACCTGTAGACGATGTAGTCCCGATTACTTGTGTCCGTGAACGGACACAATGCGCCTTGTACTCATTTTTCGAGTCATAAAGACAAAATTTTCGCCCATTCATTTATTTGGTTATCCCTTTCCTTGTCTGTGTAATACTTCCCTTATTGGTGCGACAGTTTAAATCACATCACTGGATAAAATAAGCACTGGGACTTGACATCCAAATTATGTGGCAATCCAAACAACTACACCTACAAACAAATAAGCAGCAGTTAAAGAACGACCCTAATTAGAAGAGCAATGATTCCCGGTTTGTATTCTTGTTATTTTGCCAGCTGCTGCCGTGCCATTTTTCGGAGTGAACGTAAATCTTGTCGTTGGCATCTATATGCGCATAAATTCAAAGCTTGTCTGCTCCTACCTCCATTTATTTTTTATCTGATCCCACGTACTTCAATTCAATCGGCCAGATTAGGAGAACCATTCCTCTCCCGCATTAGCTAGTTTCAATGACCGTTTGTCTCAATACTGGCAACGCATGACGCGAAAGTCATTACCAGTTGAAGAGCCCACCTTCAACCAGCGTGGCACAGGTAAACCCCATGAATCATATCTTCGAACTTCCATTAACTCCACCGGCGCGTAGGCCGCCGCCACCTCCTTCGGACGGTCCGGGCGCAGACGCGACAAAAGCAGTTTAAGCGTATGGCTCCAAGGTGACGGGGTTGTCGGTCTCGGCGGTGATCTGTCTTCAACATGTTGGAGATCTAGAGTGCTGCGAAGTTAGTTGATGCCTCCATAGCATCAAGCGGAAACCTGGTGAAAGCGGCTGGACTGCGTGAATTATGCCAAAAATGACACAAGTAACCCTAATGATGCGTGTGCAGCTGTGCGAAGAAAACCTGTACACCACAGTCGACCGAGTATCCGCGGGTCCTTTTCCCGGATTTGCCTCGAGCTGATGAGACATATGGTAATAAATTACGCTCCTCTATCTCGGTTCCACTGAAACAGCAAAACTGGTGTCAGCGGTGGAATTATCGATACGGGCTATTACTTTACCTACATAACCTAACTCGGATCTCACCGCTGAATATAAAACCAAGCATGGGAAAGAAGTGAAATAGCCCCAAGAATCTCCCAACTGACCGAAATCACAAACCTCAGTCACAAGGACAGTTGTCTCCGGTAAAAAAACTCAGCTTCCTTATCAGAGCCAGACGTGCAACCAAATTTCACGGGTCGACTCGAAGCCTAGAGCCATCGATCGCACGACGTATCCTTGATACCGTCCGCCACGAATTGCTTCTATTTCTTGTTCCAATATCTGACTCATCAAGTTGCTTCCCGAGGCCCTTCCAGGGGCTTATTGATTGGCACCATGTACTCAAAAGATGTTGCAGTTAGCATGGCGCTGACCGACTTTTACACAGACGATCAATATCCGGTTACATCTGTCGTTTTCCATCTTACTACGTTATCTTGCATGTTTTACGTCTGCAAATGAAGAGTAAGAATGAAATCGTAATATACTGCAACATATGTCTTTCCTCTACTTTCATAAAATGAACAAAAGCCACACAGTGTCTTCCAGAGTCAAAATCTCCCGCAACACATACTGACTGCCATCGTCAAAATTAGTTATTATAGTGAAGTGGGGACGTAAAAACAACCAGAATAGGAAACCCATTTTATCGCCATCTGATGGCAGTGTATGTGGTTCTGGTAGGGAAACGTGAGATCAAGCCTGTTAGAATCTGGTGTTCGTATTCGCTGCTAGAATGTTAGTCGTTCGTCTCAAAGCGACCATCAAGAGGGCTGATCGCCACGGAACTACTTCGTGAATTCGGCTTCACTGCGACTGGAATAACGATCTGTCACGTTTTCATACGTCTGAATTTAGCGGTTCGCTCCTGTTAGTATTATCCTTTTATATTGGAGAGCACCAAATACCGATTTTCCATAACCCACTTCGCTAAACCCCTTGTTCTAACTTTGTTGGTCAGAGTCGATTTTGCCCACTTTCAGAAATATTTGTCCCGTTTTCTCTCAGCCTGGTTGTAAATTGCCTGCCAACTGACATCTTTTACGCGCATGTCACAAGCTGGTTCGTGAACGTAAACAAACCGAACGGAATTGACTTGATCGATCTACCCGCCTTATGGGAATGGAAAACTAAGCTAACGGTAGCCTGGGCGAGGCAGCGTGTAGGCCAATCAGTGTTTCTGGCCTGGTGTCAACAAAGTGGGTCACTTTTGTCGAACGTTGATCATGTATGTGAGGGTATATGGAAGGCAGTGCAACGGATGAGCATTTAGAATCGAGTGGCTAAAAAAACTGAGTTGTGTGTGTGTTCCGCAGGTCTAGTTGTCCCGAGTAAAGGAAAGTGTCCAACGAATGTTTTGTATGGATTAAGGGTAGGATATCAGGCGATATTCAACAGTGTTCAACCTCCGTGGAAAGTGTTTTCAAACGAGTTCTGCTGTGTGAACAAAAGAACTTCCAGTGTCACCGGTCACCAACCGAGATTTACAATACAATGGTACTGGCCACCCCGTCCTTCCAGAATCGCTCATTTAGCAATTTGCATGGAGACATAATGGCTTGATGGAAGTTCCTCCCAGCGGTCATGTCACTGTGATTCATTCAGCAAGCATCGCGATTGCTGATGTGAATAAGGCACAGGAAACCCTGTTAGGGATACTGGTTTTACGTGTTTTTCTTCACGCGCGTCCAACTTAGAAGATCCATATTTTCAACAAACAGTAATCAAGAAAGACTTTCATGTGATTTAAAATCCGTTGGAATGTGCTACACGCAGAACCCGTATATCGTCGTGCTGGGCGCTAAGAAGAGGCGAAGATGACTTTAACAGCTTAATTCGTAACTGTACCTAACCTATGCTCACCGTGCACGGAGCTCATGAATTCAGTCATGATACCCCAAGGTCACGATTACCGTATACTTAATTGCGATGAACATCTACTAGTGTTCTATGTCCTCGGTATGAAGAACTAACAGTTCAGTGAATCATTTGAAAGACTGCGCACGAATACGTGTTAAAGTTCGTGAACTTCGCAAAGAACTTCGACATACCTGCTCCATGTGTTCATCTGTACCGGACCAAGAAACAGCTGCGAGCGAGGGCATTCATATGGCTTATCCCTGGATGTTCTTCATGAAACTGTGCTAGGAGCCGGTGGTGAAGTTTGGTGGGAACGACGATTCAGTCAACAAAGAGAAGGCAGCAACTGACAACAGATAATGAACTTCGTCGTTGAAAATGTTACAGGAGTTTCTCCTGATGAACAGGTTGTTAGCCC